GAATAAAGCAGATAAATGGCCAGAAACGGACATTCCATGTAAAAGAATACATGTAGATTTTTTAGAATATGAAAAAAGAAGATATTTTATTATGGTAGATGCTGGATCGAAATGGATAGATTGTCAACAGGTTTCAGGTTTAACGACGAAGAGCGTTGACTAAAATAAAAGATTTTGCAGGTAAATATGGATTAATGGAAACTTTAGTTTCGGATGGAGGCCCAGCATTTAAAGATAGAGTTCTTAATCAATTTTGTGATAGGTGGAATATTAAACATTTAGTATCGCCACCATATTACCCGAGAAGTAATGGGCAAGCCGAGAGAATGGTAGCTATTGTTAAAAGCTGGCTAAAAAAAGAAAAATATGGAGAGGGAAAATGGTGGTTGTTATTATTAGCATATAACAATACTAAAACGAGAAAAGGAAATTCACCATCATAGATGTTTTTGGGTAGAAAAACAAGAACGGAATTAGATTTTTTGAAAGAAAAAATAAAGCTAAAGGAGGATACCTATGATGATAAATTTAAAGTTAGAAGTCTAGTATGGATTTTACTGTTTGAGGGTCCAGTTAAATGGGGGAAGGGTATAATAAGTAAGAATATAGGAAAAAAAAGTAGAAGTAGAGATTGAAGGGCAATAAGGCACTTTTACTAGACACCTAAAACAAGTAAGACTGAGAAGCTTAGGGCAAGTAAAAGATATGGGAGATAATTAGAAGAAATAAATTGATGATAGACATTATTATGAGAATCATATTGATGATGTACTTAATTATGAGAATCATAATTTATCAGGGGATACAATTGTTAAAGAGATAAATTAAGGATAGACATAATTATGAGAATCATATTGATGAAAGACATAATGATGAGAATCATAATTTATCAGGGGATACAATTAAAAGAAATAAATTGATGATAGACATTATTATGAGATTCATATTGAGGATATACTTAATTATGAGAATCAATTGTTAAAGAGATAAATTGAGGATAGACATAATTATGAGAATCATATTGATGATAGACATAATTAGGAGAATCATAATTTCAAGAGATCAATGAGGAGAATAATCATTCTCTAGGAAATAAATTTAATAATAGACCTAATTATAAGGGTTTAAACGGTGAAGAAATTATCAGGTGAATAGTAGATTATTAGAAGATTATGAAAGATATATTTTTATAGTAATTTTATAGATGGCATCATATGTCAGAGTAGGAAATAAGATTATCAAGATGGAAATCAGAGAAGCAGATAGATCGGCCGAATCAAACAGATGGATCGAAGCGGCAAGGGCAGAAGCCCAACAAAGATACGGAGAGTTACTGCAGAAAATACCCAGACAAGGGATAGAACGACGAATGGAGCCATATTGGGTTTGGAAGAATCGATTAGCATGTTGGGCGTGCGGAGGAATGTATAAATTAAGGTTTTGTCCGACGACAACAGCGTCCTCAATGAATGGTTCAGAGTTGGAGGTGCGAGAAGGTGGGGGACTAAGGAAAGAGGCATTGGAAAGCTAATCTTAAAAGGTGGAGGTGTTGTATTCAAATATATATATATGAGCTGTTATTAATTTTGTTGTATTCAAATATATATAGATGAACTATCATGAATTTTTTTGTATTCAAATATATAGATATAACTATGATTAATTTGAATATGTAAAAAAAGAAAAAGAAAACGATGTCTATGAATATTGATAATTTTTGATTATTGTTGAAAAAGATACTTGTAATTTTTCATTACTTATTTTTTAATGAATTTTTATGATATTTATAATTTTGGAATATTAAAAAGATGAATAAAAATAAAAAGATTTTAAAATAAAGAAAATCATTCTTAAAGTTAAAAAAAAAGGAAATTAGAATTAAACTGGTTATGGTCTCCGACAAGTGATTATAATTGAGTGTAACATTCTTAAGATTATTAACCGAATTTAGTAAATTTTATATATTAATTTATTTATCAATAGATTCCTTTATTGTATTCAGTCTCTCCCACTAGCCTCAGCAAAGAAATATCAATCCCATATTAAGGACTGGTACAGTTCTTATGAACTTTTTTAGATATTAAAAATTAAAATGTGTTTTTTTTGGTATCATTAAAATAAATAAATATTTTTGTATATTGAAAATATAAAATTACCTTACAAGATGGTGATGTTATTAAAACCTTTTCGATAAAACAAATTTTATTCTTTTGGATATTGAAAATAATAATAATAATAATGTATAAAACAAGAATGGCATGTTTGTTGAACTAAGAGGGAAATGGGAGTGTTTCGAGGAAACACTTGTAATTCCCTTTCAGGATTTCAAATTGTTTGAGGGAAAGGGATCAGTTTATAACCCCCATCTATATTATAATTTTTTAACCAATTGAATTAAAGGTTTTAGTGGGTGGGGACTAGGGTTTCCCCAAATAACTAAAAATTAGAGGAATAAAAATAAAAGAATCTATAAGTGACCTAAATTTCTTGAATTTTGATTTCGTTTCAAGAGACACCCCCAGACAAGTTTAATTTAATAATTATCAATTCAAATTTTTTTTATATTTATCTCTAAACAATAATTTAAAATGGTGTTGATATGAAAACTCAATTTCTATTTACGTGGCACAAAAGGGTTTATAAAACATTTATAAAAATATATTCAAATTTAACTCTTTTATTTACAAATAGTTTTTTATTTTAAAAATAGTTTTGAATAGATTTATGGATATATAGGTTTATTACAAGTTAAATACAAAGAGATAATATTATTCCAATATTATTTTTAACTTCAAAAAAAAAAAATTTTTTTTTTAGACTATGTTTAAAACTTTAATATATACAGGGATTCTGTTGGGTCTCTTTAAAACGTAAGTAACTGTTAAATATAGATTAAAAGAATATTTTGTCAAAGTTTTAACAGGTCAATAATTTAGGGATTTAAGTATTTTATCAACAGATTAATAATTAATTCAGGTCATGAGGTACAAGCCGGGGGAATTTATTATGCACCAATATTTTGTAAACAACCTTTTATTTCTTATTTTTTTTTTTGGAAAAAATAAATCTTTATGAATCTTTGGCGCGTTTTCCCATCATGGAACGGAATGCGTGTGTAGGCATTACAATCTCTTTTTTTGCAATCGCCTTGCGCCCAAATTTTATAGCGTGGATTTCCTTCTTCCTAATAATAATTATTTATTTATTTTTTTTATATGGTATTAATTATTCTTTTTTGTTAATAAACTTAGATTGGTGTTTAAATTTTTCAATTATTTTGGGTCAGGAATTCCAAGAATTATAAAAAAAAGTTTTCAAACTCAAGCCATGGTTCAAAATTTCTAATATAAATTAGAATAAGGAAAATAATCTCCCGCCATATATTTATCTTATCATCTTTTCTCTAACATGCATAAGTTTTGGAACAAATATTTCCTTTTTCCTTCTCCACCCCCTAATGATGTTATCCTGCCTAAAGTAAAAAAAAAAGACAAATATTTGACCTTATAAATAAAATTTTTATGGCATAAGTTATAACGTTACCTTAAGAATCTTTGGAGGGTAAAGCTTTTCGATAAATTAAAAGTCTCTAAAAAAAGATAACTGTTGGGGTTTCTATCTGACAGAGGATCTGTTTGGAGAACTTTAGATCTTATTTCCTGAGTATCCAACTCCTCCCATATAATGATACCCTCCATTTTTAATAAAAGTTATTTAGTAAGTTTTAATTTTTTTTTGTCACATCTTTTAGTCACTCTTTTCATAAAAAAATTTTTTAGTCATTCCTTTTTTTGGGAAATATTTTTTATTTTGCCCATATTCTTGTAATTAACTTGTATATGTTTTAAATATATATCAGTAACCCGGCGATGAATCATTAAAGATTCACTTTCCCGGTTATATTTTAGGGTTCTCTTTTTTCAAAAGCGAATATAACTGTTATAGAACCTAAATTTGATATAAAAATATTATTGAACACAAGGACCGGGCCGGACCGTAAACATTTTAATAAAAATCGGGGGCTAAGCCAGGGCCTAACAATTTAACTCTTTGCAAGTTTCTGAGATAATATCGATTACAAAAAGAGGAATACACAATAATATCGGAGGGGAGAATGTAATACCAGTAATTAATACTATATCTTTACTTTGCCATTAATATAGATATAGATACTAATGTTAAATGATAACTCTTGTAAATTGATTATAAACGTGAAGTGACATATGATTCCGAAAACTTTTCCAAAATATTAAAAGTAAAAGAGAGTAGTTTAATATAATTCCTATAATTGCGACGCTAAAAAAAATATTTTCATTTTGACCTCAAGTTATAAAATAAACAAATTTTTAAAATTTTTGAATCAGATACAATAGAATGTTATTCTTTCTAACAATAAAATTTGAAGATCAAAACGGTTTACAGAAATAAAATAAACTAAAGACCAATGCGCCGACTTAACCCCGGTCTTTTCTAACTTGCAGAATAATATAATTTTAGCCATCTTAGGCCATTCTTCATTTTTTTTTTTAAAAAAAACTTGATTTATCTATTCTAGTGTGTTAAATGGCTCGTTTTGAGCCGATTTTTAAAAACGGAATACTCAATATTTCATCTAGAATAATATTATGCAAGCCTAAAGATTTTGTTTGTAGAAGGAACACAGGTTTGGAAATCTATTAGCGAAATCTCGAAGCTTAGGCAATATTTATATGGTTAAAATATTGAGTTAGACATTTTTATAAATCGGCACAAAACGAGCCGTTTAACAACACTAATCTAATCCTATATTAAACTTTTCCTCTCACAACAACATTTATTGTAATAGCAAGATGACAAAATTGTTCTCAAACTCGAAATATATAACCATCGTCATCTTCACAATTTTGAAAGAAAGGAACAAAATATTTAAAACATTCATTATACTAACAATGGTTAAAAACGTCCTTGCGAAAAGTTCTGAAAAATTTTATTTTCAATTTATTTCATTGTTTAAAAATTTTATTTTATTTTATCTTAAAATATGCAATTCGCTGTAAAATTGTGTTTTGGACTTGTATTAGTTTTATTCAATTCTAATAGGTAATTTAATTAAATCGATAGAAATTTTCCTGTATATTTTTAAAGCATTTTCAAACAAGTTTTTTTTAAAAAAATACTTTAATTAATTAAATAGGGAAATATTCATCACCAAAAACTTTCTAATACTTTCACCCACTTGCGATTTGTGACATAATTTAATTTAATAAAATCATAATTTTTATATCTCCTTGTATCTATTATGTTTGTATATGTGTAGTTAAATTTAAATATAGATATATCCATATTACATTATTTTGAATAAAATATAAAAATCTCCCTTAAAAATTTATGCAAAAAAATTATTTAGTAATCGTCGGTCTGGAATTGGAGTGCTCCACTCAAGATTTTCAAAATTTTTGGGTTAAAAGTGGATAACGGCTTATTTATTCCCAATATATAAAATTAAAAACTACGAAAGTATAATAGTCAAAATATCAATAAGCTTTTCCTATAGTTGATTTTAAACTTTAATTTTGTTGAATATCTTGTTTTAAACATTTGCGCAAAGTGTAGCGCTCCCATTCTAGGCCGACGATTGGTTAATAATTAAAAGATATACAATTTTGGGTCAACTTTGAAAGAATCAATCTTGCTTAGGTTTAGAACACCCTTTTATTTTGAACAAAATCATAAAACGCTATTCAATAAATGGAATGGTGATAGGATGAAGTCAATAAAATAATCATTTAGTCCTTCTCTCTATGTTCCAACATCTATTTAAATCTTGTCTTTTTTCTCTCTCGAAAACTATAAAAGTTAAGAGACATTTCAAAAATAAATTCATTTCAATATTTAAAAATAAATTAAGACAATTCTATATAATTATTTGCGAATAAAAATATTTGAATTGACAATTATATTATATTTTATAAAAAATCAATCTCATTATTCTCAGATCTTTCGGGAGAATCTTCTTGTAAAATTGAAAAAATTCCTTCTTCATAACGTTATCGAGGACCTTAATTTAAACCGATAGGAAAACGGCTAAATATAGGATTTTATACAAACATAATATTTTAATGAAGGCCTCATTGCAGCATATATTGATGGCACGGGGAAGAGAGGTTTGGCCCTCTCTTAACTAAATTTCAATTTAAAACATTTATTTTCGACTAAAATATTCGTCATTCGTGAATATAATTTGTAGAAACCAACTACGATATTATTAATATTTAGTTTTTATAATCGATTTTATGTCAGAAACTTGCAAAAAGTCAAATTCCCTGGCTTAGCCCTAGAATTTTTTAGAAACCGGTCCGGCCCGGTCTATATGTTTAATTATTTTTATTATATATTTATATTCGTTTTTGAAAATGAAAAAACCGAAAATATAAACGGCAAAGTGTTATCTTTAATGATTCATTCAAATTTTAAGCTTATTTAATTTACATTATGTGAACGGTTAGAACGGAAAGTTGTCTGGCTTTCCAATTGATCAGCTGTCTTCCTCCTGCTAAAATTAAATTAGTATAGATCCGATCCTGACTTACAGGATTTCCAATTTAAAAAAAAGGAGAAGTTTCAATCATAAAAGTAAAAGGTTCAATCAAAAAAAGGAAAAGTGTCAATCAAAAAAGAAAAAGTCTCAAAGGTTTAGGAAATGTCCAATCAAAAAGGGAAAGTGTCAATCAAAAAAGTAAAATTTCCTAAAGGAAAGGAAAATTGTGAATCAAAAAAGGAAAATTCCCATTCAAAAAAAGGTAAATCGTTATTTTTCTCACTATATCTTTTCTGATTGTCTTCTTTTTAAAAATAATTTAAAAAAATTTTCTTGTTATTTTTTTTTTCACTACTTCTACTAAATTTTTTAAGTCATTTTTTTAACAATCCTCTTTTTTTCATCCTACATAACAATATTTAGATTTATGATTTTTTTCTCCTATCTACAAACTATGGAGACTAGAATGCTGAGGTATCAAGAAAGAGTAAGGTGCGAAGTACAAGAGTACTAGGAAGTTTAAAGGAAGGGCCCATTAAGACTAAGATAATGGTTGAACAGACTTAGGTGGTATGGGCACACAATGAGAAGGCCTATAAACTATATAGGAAAATAAGATTTTTGGAAGTGATGGGCAAACGTAAAAGAGGGAGGCCAAAACTTCAATGGGGGCCATAAAGTTAGAGATATGAAGAAATATAAATAGATAAAAGAGATAGCATGAATAAACATAAAGTGGAGAAAGAGATATAGAAAAAATATTGTAACCTTTTACATACATTTCTATAACCTTTTCCAATCTCTTTAAATTCATTTTTAATCTTTATTTTTCTGTCTTTTCTCAATATTTTTTTTTATATTTATATAAATTATAAAAAAAATCTTGTTTTTTTATATATAATATAAATATAAAAAAATGAAAGCATTTGCCCAAATTAAACAAGTTCCTTTTTATTTTGTGATTTAACATTAAAGTATTCAATTTTTTGTATACCGATCGACGAATGCTAACGAACTTAGTTTTCTATAATGAAAAGTGCTTAGAACACTGCAGCAAATGTTTCTGTTATATAGGCGATAACAGTGGTGAAAGATAACGGTGGAGATCTTAATTTATAATAATTTATTCTAAAACTAAAATGATACTAAAAAATAAATTACCAAACAAAATCTCCTGTATTGAAGGTTCTATTTCGTGGTAAAGTTACGTATATTTTATTCTCCTTCTCCCCCAACGGTCTCAATAAGTCCCATTTTATTCTAATATCACGGTTGAACATCCTCTTAGACGGGTTAACTCCTGTAATGTCATTACGCGTATTTCTGTAATTAAATAAAAATTTGTCAAGTGCAATGTCTAAGTCAATTTTGATATTCCTTTTCATATGTGTTTTGAACGTTCTTACCATGCGCTCTACCAGGCCATTGGATTGCTGATGATAAGCAGATGTTAGCACATGATTGATACCATAATCACTGCAAAATTTTTCAAAATCACTACTTATGAAGTTAGTGCCGTTATCGGTAACTATAGTTTCGGGTATTCCATATAATGAAATAGTTTTAAAAATTTCTTTTAAAGTAACATCGGTCGTAATATTTTTAACAGGAACAATGATTAGAAACTTACTGTAAGCATCGACTATTGTCAACCAATTTCTTGTGAAGAACGGACCCACTGTGTATCCTTTGGTTGGTTGCCGAAAACCAAGGTTTTTGTATCTTTTTAGGATTATCGTGATATATGTTACAATCATCGCAACTTTTCACTTCCATATCTATATCATTATTTATACCAGACCACCACATGTGATCTTTGGCTAAGGATTTATTCTTCCTGCTCCCAAGTGACCATCATGTAATGATTTTTGTACATTTTTTCTCATAGAAGACGGAATTATGATTTTGTTGCTTTTGTAAAGACAATCCTTAATTATACTTAATTCCAATTCAATGTTTTTATAGATATCATTCTTTATAGGCCTGTTGTTCTTAATATCATTTATGATTGTTTTAATTCGATATCTTTCCAAGTTTCATCACTCATAGGTAAATCCCCATAGTCATTTATTATAGTGATATTTTCAACAACTTCGTCATGATATTCTTGTGGCAATCTCGAGAGGCAGTCAGGAACAACATTGTATTTACCTGCTTTATACTTTATGTTGAAGTCGTAACCCCCCAAAGTGATATTCTACTTTTGCAACCTTAAGGACATGGTACTATTGTCCTTGAGTCCCTTGGTAAAAATGTGGACTAGTGGTTTATGGTCCGTGATGATTGTAAATTTAGTCCCAACAAATATTCTTGAAATCTTTTAATCGCAAACATTATGGCAAGAGCCTCACGCTCAATATTGGTGTAATTTATTTCGGTTTTTGCTAAGGTTCTAGACGCAAAAGCAATGGGTTTTTCTTTGCCATCTTTCTCTGTGTGAAATAGTACAGCCCCTAATCTAGATTTGGATGCATCAGTCGCAATCCTAATAAGTAATTCCGGATTAAAATACGTCAGTGCTGGCGGGAGACTAATCAACTTCTTTAAATCATTAAAACTTCTGGAATGTTCTAAGTTCCATTCCCATCTTTCTTTATTGACTATTTTGTACAACGGATCAGCAATATCAGCGAAGTTATTCAAATATTTTCTATAATAACCAGCTATTCCAAGAAATGTTGAGAATTCAGCAGCTGATTTTGGTTCTGGCATATTAATTATTTCTTCAATTTTATCATGGTTAGCATGAATCGCCTTGTCATCTATATCGTGACCCAGGAAACTAACTTTATTTTTAAAAAATAAAATTTTGGCGAAGTTAGGTACTAACCCGTACGATAATATTCTCTCAAAGACCTTTTTGATGTTGTTTAAATGTGCTTTGTCGTTATTTCCAGTTATTAATAAGTCATAAATATAAAATATGACATCTTTCATATCATCGAAAATCTGATCCATGATTTGTTGGAATATAGCAGATGAAGTTTTCAACCCAAAAGGAAGTCTGGTAAATTGGTAGTATCTCATATGTGTAAATATAGTCAAAAAATTTCTGCTATTTTTATAGATCGGAACTTGTAGCAAAGCATTTTTGAAATCGATTTTGGTAAATTTTTTTCCTTCTGAAAGTTTAGCTATAAGATAATTAATACGTGGAAGTGGGTATCTAAAGTCTTCGAGAGCTGGGTTTATAGTGTCTTTAAAATCTGAGCAATGATGCTCCCATCATCTTTGTATACGGCGGTTATAGGACTCACCCATCGCACATCATTTACAGGCTCAATAATTTTTTTGTGTATCCATCTTTTCAGTTCTTCGCCCACAAGATCAATCTTTGAATATGGTATACGTCTTCGTGGTATTATTTTAGGTTGGGCGTCACATCTTAAATGTAATTTGACATTTACTTTGTTAATTGGTTCGCTAGTCAATTTGATTCACAATCTTTAATAAGTTTATTGATTTCGTCTTCATAATTGGTGTCGACATTTCCTATGAATTTATTTAAAATACTTATAAAGGCATTGATCCAGTTTCTTCCTAATAATGTCTTTCTCGACTCTACAACTACTGCTAGTAAATATTTAGTGATTCCTTTATAACTTACTTTAACTGAGTTGTCCCGATGATCTTAATCAAGTTTCCGTCGTGGGCTGTAAGCCGCAAACGATTTCTTCATTTCTCTTATACCAATTTTTTTAGCCATATCATGAGGTATGATGGTATATTTTGATCCAGTGTCAACCTGCATAGTAGTAGTAGTAATATTATTTAATTTCAAAGTAGTCATAAAAGCACTGTCATCACCTTTGTCTGTATTTTCAGCCAGGTTGTTGACATTGAAATCATTCTTATTGTTGTCTTTGGCAGTGCCAACTTTATTTTCCCCAACTTCTTCAATGTTCATATTACAATTATTGCTATCGTAGAGGTTTTTATTGTCATACTGGATTTGTTTTCTTTGATTAAAATCCTTCCACCGATTACGATCGTCATATTCGATTTGTTTTCTTTGGTTATCATTATTATGCCACCTGTTGTTTCCTTCATAGCTTGAATTGTTGTTGTAAGATCGGTAATTATTTTGATTATGACCGTCACATTGAATCTGCCTCCTCTGATTATAATTAAACCAGGCGTTGTTCCTACCATAGTTGTTGTTATAAGATTGATGATTATTATGATCAAAATTTCTGTTGCTCTTGTTATACCGATAATTGTAATTTTGATAGTTACTACTATTATATTGATCATTTCTATAGTTATTATTATTATAATTGTTATTGTTTCTAACGTTACTAAAATTCCTATTCCTGTTGTCGTTAATATTTCTAAAATTGTTATCACCATGATATATTCCTACTGTCAAAATTTTCCCTCGAATAATAATTAGGTCTATTATAGTTACTATTAATCTCATTCCTATTAGAAATACTTTGGATATCTAAATTCTTATCATTATTTCTATTATTGTCATTATTATTAAATTTTTTATCCCTACTAAAAACATAATTAACATTGTCACTTTCTGATTTAATGTTATTACTATCTAATTTTCTTCCTATTTCAATCATTTCGTCTAATGTGCAGTTAATATTTTTATTTAATTTATTTTTTATATTGTCATTTACACTAGATGTTCTATATTTTTCTTTTATGCGATCATCATTAATAAAATTATACATTGTCTACTTAATTTAGACAATCTAAAAAAACCAATCCAAAAAGGATTCATTAATACCTTGTGAAGCAAGGTTAAACTTTCCAATCAATATCCAAACATCTTGACTGGGTAATAAAAATTTTAATTTTTTAATAATAATTTTATAATCTTTGATATCTTCCTTGGTACATAATGACTTAATTTTATCGTATAGGTCATCAGATAAATTGTTCATCAATGTTTCAATTTTTACTGAGTCAGATAAAATTGTTTGAGAGAAATAATCGACAAGTCTTTCCAAGTATATGTCCGTTAAGGGTCCCTGCAACTTTGGGAACTTAACTTCCCTGTTGGAGGATATGCTAATTTTATCATCCATAATGCAGATTTTTATTTAAAAAACTTATTTAAATTAGCAAAGATACATATTGTCACTATTATGTATTCAATTTTTTTTTTATCCAAATTGCAAATTTTTATTTTAAAACTTTATTTACATTAGCAAAAGAAATTTTTTTTTTTACCTTGTGTGTCCTGAATAATTTTTATAATCAAAAATATTTTTAATTTTTTTTATATTTATCGGGATATGCACAATATATATGAGATTTTTTTATATATCATTGTGAGTTATCATTCCGGGGCACCATGATATATAGGCGATAACAGTGGTGAAAGATAGCAGTGGAGATTTTAATTTATAATAATTTTATTCTAAAACTAAAATGATACTAAAAAATAAATATAAAATAAGGTATATATATAAATTATAAAAAAAAAAACAATTTAATACATAGTTAAAGGCTATAATAAAAATTTAAGTTAAATAAAAAATCAATCGATCAACAGTTTCCTACATTACATATTCCAAGCTGTTCCCTTATTTTTATTATTCTTGGCGCTCAGATAAATTTGAGCTCAAGAATATCTTATATCGAAATAAGGATAGTAGATTGTTCCATCTCTTCAAAAATACAGTTTAAATTGATTGATTCTTCTTTTTCTTTTTTGAGCCATAACAATAGAGAATACATTGATTTTTTATTAATATTTTTTATAAAAAAAAATTGATTTTTATCTACTTATTTATTGAGGGACTTCAAAAAAAAGATATATAGTAAAAAATAATTTTCCTTTCAAAATACCAGATTCATAGTGGCGTTAGATTGTCCTTGTCAAGAACTTCCGGTAAAATGCACGACACCTCCACCTACTAATTGCAAGGGAGAGGTCATCACAGATGCTTGTGATTGCTGCCATGTTTGCGCTAAAGTAAAATAAAATATAAATATGAATGATAGATCTTTACGGAAATAACGAACGTATCCAAGATCATCAATAGAGGATTTAGGAATATCGCAATTTTAGATTCATAAGGTTTGATTTTTAGCGAAATAGTATTCCAATATTATTTTAGAAATGCAGACAAACTTAGCGTTAAACACTTTTAACCTATTCAATTTACAGTCAATAATATTACAGCATCAGAGATTTATAGCTAGTCATTTCTAAATTTAAACAATATCTCACGCGGGTGATAAGCTATTTCAAATTCTGATAAAGGATATGTCGTTATTCTCTAAAAGGTTTTTATCTAATATTTTTTATGAATTAATGATAAATAACAAATTTTTAAAAAATAGTAATTAGAGCATGTTAATATATATATATACATATAATGGTCTTATTGGATAGACTGTAGGAGAAGTGTGCGGGGGATCGGATTTCGAAATGGGTAAATGTGAAAATGGTTTTATATGCTTCTACGATTTCTATTCTAATCAAACGGATGGAAAATGTGTACTCGGATTTCCTAGAGTAATCATGCTTTTACAACATTTGTTACACATATACATCATTTGGATATCTGAACCTATGATATTAATAAATTTATTTTAGGTATAAATGGTACAGATTATATTTATATATTTTATATTAGAACTTACAAGAACCTTGCGGCGATGCATTACAGCAAGGATATTGTAAACCAGGTTTAATCTGTTCACAAATTATGCCAGGAGTTATGAATATGTGCGTTATTCCCCCAAAAAAATTACCAATACAACAGAGGCACCAGTAAATGTTTTGGCTATATATCAAAACTTTAAAAAAAACGGGCTAAGAAATATTTTGTCCAAAAAAATATTATGCAACCCTGAAGATTTTTCTCGTGGAGGGAACAAAGATTTGGACATCTGTAAATCTCGAGGCTTAGGTCATATTTTTCTGGCTAAAATATTGTGTTAACCGTTTTTAAAAAATTGGTTCAAATCGAGTCGTTTAACAACATATGAAAAATTTGGGTATAAATTAAAGATTATTTAACCTGTGTCTTCGCTAGCAAATTTAAAATGCGCATGCTCGCAAATTTTATTTTTGCATATGTTTGTAAACGTTTATGAACAGGCGTGATTTGACCTATTCGCGCACTTTTTACGCGCATTAATAGAAATTTATTACGATTTTATAAGCGATTAATTTCTAAATATTTACCCAAACCAGGGTTGGACGAGTCGGTCAATTGACCAATCAGATTCGGTCAAATGACAAGTAAATTGGGAAAAAAGAATCAAAGATAATTGTAGTGTTGTAAACGAAGTTCATTTTTTTGAAATAAATGATGAACGGCGTTCCTTTTATTTTTGACCAACTTTGAACATGAACGCGTTCCTTTTTTTATGACGAAAGCGTTCGAATTTAACGTTCGTTCAATTTTAAAAATATTTTTATTTATTTGAAAAATTTAATATTTCCGAATTTTTTTTAAAAATGTATTAGTTATATTTTTTAACCTGCTGTGTATTTCCTTTTCACATTTCAATTTTTTTAACACATAGTTTATTAATTTGAATATTATTGTTTATATTTTAATTTAATAGATTAGCATTAATTATTTGATTTTATATGATATAACTAAGTTAAATCATTAAATTTTAAGAAATAATACATTTGGGATATTTGACCTTTTAAAATTAAAAAAATTAGTGGCTTCAAATATGGTAAACCAACCTATTAAAAATAAACTTTAGCGTTATTGAAAAAAATGCTTTGAAAACCCTAGAGAACTGTTAATTTCGAGATATCCTTTTTTTTGTCGAGAGTAGAGAATGGATTGGAGGAGGATAACTTATCTCAATTTTTTGCAAATAACAAAACAATATGTTTTTAATTAATTCTCCACGTTAAAAGAGCTGTTTATTAAGTATAATACCGCAATCCCCTCATCTGCTATGTAGAGCCTTTTTAGTTTAGCTAATGCCGTATTAACTGCCAAGTGTTCCTGTCCATCAGATAAATATTTTGATAACAATTATTATTAAAATTTAATAAGAAAAATTTTTTTATAAATAAAAATATTTTATTCGCTATATTATATTATACTATCAAAATTAAAATATAATATTTTTTAATAACATGGCTAAAATATATTGTATTAAAAAATATAAGTTTATTTATATTAATTAAATTTTAAAAAAATTTATCATAAAATTTTGAACGGTTTTATGAACGTGAACGCGTTCGATTTTTGTCAATGAATGCGAACGCGTTCGATTTTTTTAGAAATGTTTACAGCACTCGATTTTAAAAAAAAATGACGTTTGGAATTGGAAAAAAAAGAGACAATAATATATTTCCAATGAGATATTAGGGGCATATGTTTATACATCACCATTCACCATATTTAGACGCCAGATATCAAATCCTATTAAATATTGATCAGGAAAGAGGTTGTTGTAGCTTATTTTAATGGAATTTGATGGGGGAAACATAAATCATGAATTTATAAATTATTCAATGTAACATTCATTTCTAGAACTCAAAACCGAACCCATTTTTTTATAAGGAGCGTTAAACAGACCTGAAAATAATATAGCCTCGAAATTGAGAATAATCATCTTGATATGAAAATAGGTTGTTATTGTAGCGATGGGCGAAGATTTGTTTACCCGCTTTGTCCCTCCGCTGCGTGTCCGCCTATAAAAAAAAAATTTCTTCTTCTTCGATTGTTTTAAAATCGGCTCATATTATACCATCTTACATATTATTTTTATCTAAATTGATCTTCTTCAAACGGAAAACTTTTTTTTTATATTCAAGATGTCCTATTTCCATAAATTAATATTTATGTAATAAATTTTGCCAGCAATGTGATTATTATCATGGAATACATTTAATACCTTATTTAACATCTTAGCCAATCAAGGAGTAAGAAGTTAAAAATCATGTTTGAAATCATAGAGACAGCTGAAAGATCATTTAAGGATTTATAAGAAGAAAGAATTTGATTATAATATATAGCTCATTCTCATAGGACATATCAGAAAAACTTTAATACAAAACATTTCATAAAATTTATTTTAACCAATAGGGAGACCAGGGCTAGTCGGCCCAAGATGCTTATCGGTTCATGGGATTTATGGTACACAACCTGAATCTTTAAAAATATTTTAGCTATATATCTATCGTAATTGATAATATTAGTATGATTCAAATTATGACATTTTATTAGATAGGAACATTTTAGTTATCAGGGTATTATTTTGGAGTAATAATAAAAATTTAAAAATTGAAATTTAAAAATTTCTGAATTGAAAATTTAAAATGGTTTTTGAGATTAATCGATGAGAAATTTAAATTTTAGAAGATAAGAAATTTGAGTTTGAGATAATCCAAAATACGTAAACAACATGAGGTATGCATTTAAGAGATAGAAAATTTAAATATTTTGTTGATATATGGGAATGATATGATCTTTACAAATGGATGTGTCTGGAAAATAGATTGATATTAAATACCAAGTATTATGAAAGGGGATATTAACAGAAGGCAATGTCCAACTCTTTTGAATATGATGGAACAAGAGCCAGGTTTATCAAACTTTTTTCTTGATGTCTCAGGTTAGTATTCACTTATTTCTTATAATTACTTATTTCTTTAATATACTTTATTCATTTTTCATATTTATGTTTATTTACTTATTTCTTGATTAGTTTCACACACATAAGTTAAGTTTATTTTAATCTAGCAAATTTATTACTCTATACATATTAAGTACTTATTAAACATAATTTCTATTACTTCAAAATTTTCTAGCTTCACAGAACTTTTAGTTTAACGAACATATTAATTAAATTGGACTTCTATATCTTGCTTAGAATTTTAGTATACATTTGTAAATTTTCAACTATAAATGTTTCTAACTTTTAACGTCTCGAGCATACAATTGGAACATTATTTATTGTTGCAAAAAATAAACACATTAAAGTTAATATATTGTACTTCTCTAAAGTTTAGATATAATAGTCTATGTTGGAATACTAGCAGTATGCTTGTCAGAATAATATAATATAAAATAATTGCTATTCCTACCCCAAAACATTTTTTATGTGTATGAACGATAGCATTATGTTAGTTAGAATTATATAATATCATGAAGATGTTAGTTAGAATTATATAATATCATAAAGTAATTCTGGTTATTCCTACCTTATAAATTAACTTTATGTTTATCCGATTATATATTATATATAGATTGGTCTGTACCTTTGAATATATTAGTCATTCTTTATGTATCAATTTATAATTCCATTTATACATACTTCACATAACACATAGCTTAGATTATATTTTTGGTACCTTAATATAATATCTATATTATATTATACTTTATAAAAACTTCATGCCTATATGATCATATATAAAATTGAGCTCAAACATCAAGGTACCTTTTTTTTTTGAACATATCTGTCTTTCATTCCTACATTACTTTATACTGACATTTATACATATTACATATTGATTAGATTATATCTACACATATATATAAATATATAATTGGTTAACTATAATATGATTGGAAAACTTTAATAGCATGTATATATGATATTATGAAAATCCTAATATAAATTTGTCTTTACCCTTAAAGATTTGTAAATAGGTAAATCTTAATTTTGTTACTTGTAATTAAGTAAATCTTAATGTTGCTAATATTTACTTTGCTCTTCTATTAATATATTAACTCAAATAGAAACAAACCTTTTCTCAATATTATTATAATCTCTTTCTAAATTTTGCTTTCATCTACCTCTTCATATATTTTCTTATTAAATTTCTATCTTTAGGTTATTTTCGGTGCCGATGCTGGATGGTAGGTATTTTTAGGTTGGGATAATTATAATCTTAATTTTGGTTATGATATAGATTTTCCGAATTCAGATTATGTCTTATTACTATAGATTTTTCCGAATTCAGATTATGTCTTATTACTTAATATATTTTTCTCTACTATTTGTATTACTTCTCTTAAATTCTTCTGGCGCCTCCCAAATTTTTTATTTTTTCAAAATTTTTTTAAGCAGCCGGATTTTTGCTTTGATTATGTTTAAATGAAAATAAATAAATAAATAAAATATTTTTTTCTTACATTTTTAATTTATTATTACTAATACAATAGGTATAATGATGATTCTTTCCGAAACCCCTAATAGCTTTTTAATTTTTGTTAACGGAATTTAAATATAATTTATAGAATAAAGTAATCTATGCCATCAAATTTTAGCAGCCCTTATGGTTTTAAATTTTCGTAATAGTAATTTATAAATGCAATCCTTAGAATAAAGTATCTTATGCCAATTTATAAATGCATTTTTTTAGAATAAAGTATTCTATGCCATTGAATATCAAATAATTTGTATTCGAATTTAAGATATAACTTGTAAAAAGCTATCAAATTTATGAGAATGGACATATTACTAGCTGATCGCCATATTACACGCTTCTATGTAGTCCTTGACATCGACTTAGGCCTTGACATCAGTTTTCTTATGTCGCAACCTTCGACATCTTACTAGTTTTAATGTAGTCCTTGACTTCTTACTTACGCCCATAATTATATTTGACATCTTACTATTTCTCAAACAAAGTCCTTAGTTTAATCCCTTTTCCGCTTGGTAAAATGTAATTAATTCTACTTTTTCAAACAAAGTCCTTAGTGTAATCCCTTTTCCTCTTGGTAAAATATATTTAATTTTACGTTTTCTTGTAAATTTCAATCAATTTATTATGAAATTTAGTCC